TCTGTGTTTTCAGACTGTAATGAAAAAATTCAGATAGGGTCGCATATGGCAGAAATATCGGATTTGGGTCACTAATGGTTCAACAAGCACCGCATCCATGTGTACTTCAAACCTGGCAACACCCTGGGACAAAAACTGGTTCACCCCAAAGACAAGACGCCCAGAAACAAGACCGACAGCGTGGTATACGCCGTTCAGTTTAGTGAAGAGTGCAGAGACCTGTACATTGGAGAGACCAAGCAACCGACTCCTCAGAACAGGACTCAGCTGTTCAACTACTGAGGGCTAAAGGACACTCATTTGAGGAAAACGTCCACATTCTGACCAAAGAAGACGGATGGTTTGAGAGAGGGGTTAAGGAAGCCATCTTTGTTAACCTGGAAAAACCATCTCTCAACAGAGTAGGTGGTCTAAGACATAACCATTCACCTATTTAAGGGCTGGTTATCCTCCTGCAGCAATGTGTCACAGTTAGCTTGTCGCAGGTATGATGCAGATATTCTTGATTTATGCCCAATTTTGAAGCGTGGTCTGCACTATGTTATTCCACCCCACAATACAAAAGGGACAACCACGAACTAGCTAGGATTGTGGGTGTCCCTGTATCGGTTTGACGAGCTTGTTCGCCGTCTAAAACCCCTCTTCCAACGGCGGAAGACACACAGTTCACCCGTGAGTGTTCCCCAAAGACCGGTCGTGGCGCTGCGTGTTTTGGCTTCGGGTGCAAACCAACAGACCGTCGCACAGAGCTACAAACTAGCGTCCTGCACGGTGTCTGGGATAGTGTCCGAGGTGTTATGGACGGCACTACAGCCACAGTTTCTGCCATTAGGTACCAAACAGGAAATACGCATAGAGTAGAGCGGTTGATTATTGACCAATCAGAGGCCTCCTGTCTGCGCTCACCTACAATTTTGGGGAGGAGCACCAGAGTGTGTGCGGAGGGGGACAATAACCAGAAGATTCACCAATAATCAGAAGATTCACCTGCCCTCACCTGACTCACTTCGAAGAGGCATGTGACCGAAATCACTCTGAAAGGCGAATTTACGACCAATCAGAACCCCCTAACGAATATTAACCACCAAGGTGACCTGCATGGCCAATCCAGTAGGAGGGATCAGAGCCACCATTTGTTCCCCCTCATTCCTTGTTCCACCTCCAGTATATTAATCTCATTGCTCCCCACCACTAGTTGGAACTGAAGAAGCCTCCTGGATGAGAGGAGAAACATCTTCTAGAAAACTTCACCTCCCTCTGCCTAAACTGAACTTTTCAATATTGAAGACTTTGGTTAAATATTTAATATTATGAGTTTAGAACCTCCTTGACAGACAGGATAGCAGGATTTTAAAGATGCAATTCAAACTGTGATAAATGGCAGTTAACTATGAAGCTTCTGCAATTAAAAAAACATAGTTTGACAGCCCTGAGGTTTATATATTTACTAATAATATACGTATTATTAGTGACAGCCGCAGTGACTGACGGGGTCTGGTTGGTTAAAATCTGAGCCGATCTGACGACGCTACAGCAGGAGGAGTCCAACGTCTTCTCTGGGAACTAAAAGACCAAATATGGCGGCAGGTTCTACTCCTGTAGCTCATGTGGTCTGGATTACTGCTGCTCTCCTACCTGTGGCCATGATGAGTCCAGGTGCAGAGTCCTTGGATAAAATGGGCATCCTCCTCAGCTGGATGTTGAACAGCTGGCTCCAGCGCTGGGCCAGGTGGAGAGAGCAGCCTTTGCTGAGCTGCGGGAAAAAAACAGGAATCAGATGGAAAAAAGGAAAGCTGTTTTAATAAAGCTTATAGTCATGGCTGCCATGTAGGAGTGGTGGTACGACTGAGCTCCAACGATTCAAACTATATCAAGAAATCACTCAACATCCACCGTATTTAAACATGTTTTTGAGCTGTTCAAGACACTGCTGCCACTGGATCAAAAAACATTTTTTTATTTGGTGAAATTTCTGGACTTTTTCAGCGTGATGAGCAACTTGTTGGTAAGCTACGGAAGAGGATTAGGGCCACTGGAAAAAAAAATGTTTTTTATTTTATTTCAGTATAGTATGGGAAAAAAGTCAGAATTCTGACTTTAATCTCAGAATTCTGACTTTTTTTATTGTCAGAATTCAGTCAGAATTCAATCAGAATTCTGATATTAAAGTCAGAATTCTGACTTTTTTTATTGTCAGAATTCAGTCAGAATTCTGAAAAAAAAAGTCAGAATTCTGACTTTAATCTCAAAATTCTGACTTTTTTTATTTTCAGAATTCAGTCAGAATTCTGAGAAAAAAGTCCGAATTCTGACTTTTTT